ATATATATATTTATATATATATATATCATTATTTATTTGAAAACAAGAACAGGAAACTGTAGCGTTGGATTATTTACCTAACAAGTTCTTTTCCTATTTTCTATATATTTTCATATATATATATATATATATATATATATATATATATATATATATATATATTTGCCTGTTCCTCTCCATATATTATTATATTTTATTCTAATCCATCTCTCTATCTTTTCCAGATTATATTAAATGCATTTAAGCAGTGTAGCTTCATTCAAACATGTTTTATTTAATAATATAAACATATGTTTATTTATTTTCATAATAATCCATTCCAGTTCTCTAAACAGTTTCTTGATGTTAAGATGAAATTCAGCAACGAAGGATCAGAGCTTTCGATCCCCTCCAAGATCATCGTCAGGGTTGAATTAAAAAGCTGAACCTATTGTAACCCTGATAAAATCTGCATTGGTTTGTGTTAGTGTCTTTAAAAAAAAACTTGTGAAAGAGCTCTCTTATGACTTTTTTAAAATTATTAAATTTATCCGTTGTAGCTATGGAATTGTTTTGCAAGTGTTTCAATATAAGAGAGCTGACGGAAAATTGGTAGAAATGCAAAATGGCATTAAATGTTTGTGTTGAAACTTGACTAATGCATGGAATAATAATGCAACACAAAATGTACTTAGAACAAAATGTATTGAAACAAGAAAGTTTACACAATATTTACATATAGTCTTTTGTATATTCCTGGTAAGACCGTTCCTGGAGAATGTGTTGACTGAGTCGCAGTCGGGCAGCGTCTCTGGTTGAATCTCTTGATTCCTCCCTCTCTTCCCGGTACCAACCATATTTATATAGTCGGTACTCCACTATGCAAATTATTATTATATGCAATTCAACTCGTTGCTACTACACTCGTAATAAATTTTATTGGGTGTTCGTTAGTTGCTTTTGATATAGAAGGCCTCGAGATTTGAAGTTTTTATATGTTATATATTAACATCAAGAACTGGAAAGGATCTTTATACAAATAAATACATATTTAAATATATAGAAATATATATATACATATATATATATATATATAGAGAGAGAGAGAGAGAGAGAGACTGAGATGAACGCAAAGTAGCAACAGTCTGTTTCATGCTCGAACGCAATCTCCAGTATTTTCGTTCATCAGTGTAGCAAGACATCCGATTGCTTCAAGACGAGATCGAAACCCAACCGATTTCGCATCAGTCAGAGATTCGAGACACAGCAGAGCTGAAGGGAATTTTTTACGTTTTTACTATGCGAAAAACGTCAGTAGCTAGGAGAGCTCGATTCGTGTAGAAGAGGATTACATTAGCAGCAGCAGTCACTGTTTATAAAATCACCCCTTCCTCTCCGATATATATATATATATATATATATATATATATATATATATATATATATATATAAAAAAAATGTCTACACTTATATTGGAAGAGTTTTCAGTATCGGAGATAAACCGTTTAAAGATATGAACAGTGATGACATAGGAATCAACACGGCATTGGATGTGCCAATATCACACCTCAATGTTATCTTCAAAACTCATCATATATATATATATATATATATATATATATATATATATATATGTGTACATCTTATATTGCATACGCTATGTCCTTCATAGTGAACACTTTTACCCATAAATATAGCATAGCTTAAAGCTATGTATATATGTGTGTGTGTGTGTGTGTGTGTGTGGATAGATAGATAGATAGATAGATAGATAGATAGAGAACAGATAGGATAAATATATAGATAGAGAGATAGATATAGATATAATTATGAACAGACTGAGATAGATAGATAGATAGATAGATAGATAGATAGATAGATAGATAGATAGATAGATATGAACAGAGTGGGATAAATATCTATGAACGGACTGAGAGAGGTAGAGAGAGTGAGAGAGAGTGGAGATAAGTATGAACAGACTGAGATAGATAGATAGATAGATAGATAGATAGATAGATAGATAGATAGATAGATAGATTTACTGAACAAACATTTGTTCCAGTAAATAAAGAAATATTTATCATTATTTTAATTAAACTTTTTACTGTTATTTTTAATAGGATTCTGAGTCTACCTACTCGCTACTTTTAATCAATCTTATTCTATTAGCTTTCTTTTTGGTAAATTAAAACTTGTTATCTTTCTTATTTCTTTTATAATGATGAAAAGTTTTATCTTTGCAGTTCCGACTCAGAAAATCCTGTTACCCAAATAGAACTGACTCTTCTTGCTTCAAGTGATATGGCTTCCGTTGGCAGCAGATGAAAACGCTTCTGTTTATTCGTTTGCTAAACAACGAAATGTTTTTTTCTTGTTTTGACTTTTGCATTTGTTTTCTCTTAATAACATCACGTCTCAAAAGTTTAATCTAATTCGCACAACAAGAACACTGCGTACCAGAGTGATCAAGGTAGCTTTAAAATTTAAAAAAAAAAATTACGAAAAGAAAAAGGGCAAGAGATGAAAAGGACGACGACAATTATTGTAAAAACAAGGAGAAAGAAACAACGAAAAAACCAATGAAGATGTTCAGGAGGCGGTGTTTAAAGTCTGAGAAAGAGATGAAAATCTAATAAAGATAAATACGTCAAAAGAATAATGCAAAATATAAAAAATAATAATGAAATAGAAATTAAAGGAAGATAATAAAAAAGAACAGACGAACGAAGGCTTGAGATAAAGAATTAAAAGCATTGAAATGAAATTGTGAAATCGACGAAGAGAAAACTAAAGAAAAGTGAGATAGACGAACAAAAGGAAAGAAAGAAAATAGAAAAAAAAGATAATAAAAGAAAGGAAATGATTAACAGTAAGAGAGAGAAAAGGATTAACAAGAAAAGAGAAAGGAGGACAGATTAATAGTAAGAGAAAAAGATGGTCAAGAAAATGGAAAATAGATGAAAGGAAAGAGAAAGACAAAAAGAAAATCGTAAAAAAAAGGTAGCAAAGAAAAAAGGAAATAGGAAAAAAAGAAACAGAAAGAAAAAAGAAAATATAATAGAAAAAAGGAAACAGAAAGAAAAAAAGAAAATGGAATAAGAAAAAAGAAAATAGATAAAGGAAACATGAAGAAAAATGAAGAAAATAGGATAAAAGGAAACGCAATGAAAAGAAAATAGAAAAAAATGGAAACAGAAAGAAAAAAGAAAATAGAAAAAAAGAAACAGAAAGAAAAAAGAAAATAGAATAGAAAAAAGGAAACAGAAAAAAAAAGCAAAAAGAAAATAGAATAGAAAAAAGGAAACAGAGAGAAACAAGACAATAGAATAGAAAAAAGGAAACAGAAAGAAAAAAGAAAATAGAATAGAAGAAAGGAAACAGAAAGAAAATAGAATAGAAAAAAAGGAAACAGAAAGAAAAAAGAAAGCAAAAAGAAAGAAAAAGAAAATAGAATAGAAAAAAGGAAACAGAAAGAAACAAGAAAATAGAATAGAAAAAAGGAAACAGAAAAAAAAGAAAGAAAAAAGAAAGAAAATAGAATAGAAAAAAGGAAACAGAAAGAAACAAGAAAATAGAATAGAAAAAAGGAAACAGAAAGAAAAAAGGAAACAGAAAAAAGCAAGCGGAGTGAAAAATGAAAATAGAATGGAAAAGAGGAAACAGAAAGTAAAAAGTAAAAAGAAAAAAGAAAATAGAAAAAAAGGAACCAGAAAGACAAAAAAACAAAATAGAATAGAAAATAAGGAAACAGAAAGAAAAAAGATATTAGAAAATGAAACAGAAAGCAAAGTAAAAATAAAATATGATCACGAAAAAAGTAAGAGGATAGAAAAAAAGGTAACATAAATAAGAGGATATATTAAAAGCGAGATAAAAAAAGCGAACAAAGAAAGAAAATAGAAAAAGAAAGACGGAAAGGACAGATAAACAGTAAGAAAGAAAGATGAAAAATAAAGAATAGAAAAAAAGAAACAAAAAGACGAAATATATTGATTATCTGTAAAAAGAAAAATGTCGAACAAGAAAGAAAAGAGAAAAAGATAACACGAAGAAAAGATGGAAAATTAACGGTGTAAGGAAAATCTGAAAAAGAAACAAAATTGCAAAGCGTAAAAGAAAGAAGGAAAAGATAGATTAATAGTAGTAAACATAGCTGAACAAAAACTAAAATAGCAAAAAAGGAAGCATAAAGAACGATAGATTAACATTAAGAAAGAAAGATTAAAAGGAAAGCCAATAGAAAAAAGACATCGACAAAAAGAGAAGGATAGACAAACAGTAAGAAAGATGAAGAAAGAAAAAATAGAAACAAAGACACAGAAAGACGAATTATATCGATTATCTGTAAAAGAAATACTTGAACAAGAACGAAAATAGAAAAAGGTAACACTAAATTAGAGAAAAAGGTCGAAAAAGAATCAAAATAGAAAAACGTAACAGAAAGAAAGGATGGGTAGATTAATAGTGAGAAAAAAAAGCCGAACAAAAATGAAAATAGAAAAAAGAAACATAGCCAAAAAGACCAGGAATTAACAAAAAAGAAAGGTGAAAATAAGAAAAAAGGTAAAAAGAAATAAAAAAAAAGACGAGGGATAGATTAAGAAAAAGGAAACAGTAAGAGAGAAAGGTAAAAAGGTAAAAAAAGAAAGAAAATAAAAGAAAAGAAAAAACAGTAAGAAAAAAAAGAGATTAAAAAGGTAACAGTAAGAAAAATAGATTAAAATTAGGAGACAAAGATGAAAAGTAGAGAAAAAAAAAGACTTGGACAAGTAGAGAATAGATAAACAGGAAGAAAGAAAAATGAACGAGGAAGCAAACATAACAAATTCAAATATAAATTGAAATTAAAAGATGGATGACAGAATAAATCCTGAGCCTAACAGAAAGTAATGTGGGAAAAGTGAACTAAAAAAAGTTGTGCAAGAAAAATAAAGAGAAAAAAAAGTGTTGTTGTTTCATTCGAATGTGTTTACAAAATAAAAGAAACGAAAATATCATGACAAAATTACAAAATAATTAAGAAATTTTCATTAAGTTTTAGTTAAACGAGAAAAGAAAGCGCTAACTGATTGGAATAATGAGGCGTTCTTTTTATTTAAATCTTTCAAAAGACAATTTCCGTAAGAACGACTTCCAAACCCTCCCAACCAATTCAATGTTTCCGATTCAGCCATGAGTAATACTTTGTTCTTTTCTGTCTATCGTGCCTTGGAAGAATACGATATTTGTTACACGGATATTAAATTTGATAGTATTTTGTTAAACAACTATAGCATCATATGTCAGACTAGAGATGACATGGCGTATTACTGCCATATCTGGCCATATCCTCACATTACAGCCTTGACAGTTTTCTAAAAACCAGTCTTGTAGAATTATTATTTGCAGCCATTTCCCGCAATCCAGCCGTGATAGATTTCCAAAAAGCGGTATTGTGGAAGAATTCTTATTCTTCACTTTGCAGCCTTCTCCCACATTTTAGCCGTGACAGATTTCCAAAAGGCGGTATTGTGGAAGAAAACGTATTCTGCACTTTGCAGTCTTTAATCATTTTCTAGCCTTTTCGGAGACTTTTCCTACAATCCAGCCGTGATAGATTTCCAAAAAGCGGTATTGTGGAAGAAAACGTATTCGCCATTTTGCAGCCTTTTACCACTTTCTAGTCTTGGCAGTTTTTTTCAAAAAGTGGTGTTGTGGAAGAAGACATTCTCCACTTAACAGATTTTAAGGGTAAATGACTTTGTATCCTAAATGAACGTTTTCTGTTTGAGTCATAAGAGTTTTTATCACTGCCTGTTTATTTTCCTCCATGGTAGAGTCCAAGTCCGTTGTTTTGACATATGATCATTTGAAAGTATTGACTCTCAACTGATCATATCTTGTAAGCGTCTTCACACACACACACACACACACACATATACAAACACACAAAGACAATCAATCAACTAAAAATCTAAACTAAAAAGGACGCTTGCATAGAATTATATTTATGTGAAACACCGACACAGTGGAGTAATGGATAGATGCTCGGATTGAGGAACCGGAGAGCCGAGTTCGAATTCCAGTCGAATCTATTACATTCACTTACGCGCTAATACTCCTTGGGAAAGGTATGAATCCTCTTCATTTCCACCCCCCCCCCGCCTCACCAGCTATGGGTAAATAGCAGAACAGACCGGGTTCTATAGTTTTGAATGGCAACTAGTCTACCGCAGAAAGAAATAGCAACCTACTGCGGAAAAAAACTGCTTCGTCAGTCATGCATCGAAAGCTACACGATCGCCTAAGCGTGTATCACGCATGGCACATAACTGACTGAAATTCACTTACGTGCTAATACCCTGGGGAAAGGTATGAATCCTCTTCCTCTCCCCCAGCCATTGGTAAATAGCAGGATAGACCAGGTTCTATAGCCTTGAATGGTAACTGTTTTAGCACAGAAAGAAATTGCAACCTACTGCAGGGGAAAAAATCTGCCTCGTCAGTCATGTATCGAAAGATACATGATCGCCTAAGCGTGTATCACGCATGGCACATAATTGACTGAAATTCACTTACGTGCTAATACCCTTGGGAAATGTATGAACCCTCTTCTTCTCCCCCGCCCCAGCTATGGGTAAATAGCAGGACAGACCAGGTTCTATAGCCTTGGATGACAACTGGTCTACCGCAGAAAGAAATGGCAACCTACTGCGGGGTAAAATCTGCCTCGTCAGTCATGTATTTAAAGGTGCATGATCGCCTAAGTATGTATCACGCATGGCACATAACTGACTGATTGAAACACCAAGTCTTAGACTTTTCCTATCATTATTGAACTATTTATTCCATTCAGTGAAGTTTCCTTTCACTGATTTGAAGTCATCGATTTTAGCTGCAGTATAATATCGGCTCGGTAAGGGGAAATCAAAGAATTCGAATTCGTTCGAATTCCAGTAGAGTTTCTTTACATTCACTATCCCGCAACTCGGGAAAGGTATGAATCCAGGTCTTCTACCCCCAGGTAAAAGCTGAATAGCAGGACAGACTGGGCCTTCTAAAGCTTGGTTGACAACCAGTCTACCACAGACTGCATGCTCCCGCGGATAAATCTTCTGCCTCGTCAGTCATGAATCGAAAGAGACATCGTGTATAGCACTTAACTGAATGACTGTTCTTTAAATCAGGGGTAATTTTTATGTTTAAATAATGGATAAATATGTATTACTTTAAACGTTCTTTTTAGTGGACCCACGTATTTAAGTAGGCGCCCCTTTTATTTTTTTAGAACAGTATTTTATTTCGTCTACCGACCGAACATTCAAGGAATCTTATTAGAGAAAAATACAGTCTACAGCAAGCTTTGAATTTGCATTGAGTTGAACAGAAGAACAACCGGGGTTCTATAGCCTTGGTTGGCAACCAGTCTACTGCAGAAAAAATGGCAATCTACCGCGGTAAAATCTTCTGCCTAATTTGTCATGAATCGAAAAAAGACATTATCGGGCAAGCGTGTATCGGGTATGGCACTTAACTAAAAACGATCTCTCTCTCTCTCTCTCTCTCTCTCTCTCTATCTATCCATATATATATATATATATATATATATATATATATATATATATATATATATATATATACTGTCTGTCTAGCCACTGATGAGCTGTGATACAGAAAAACAGTCTGTGGATGACAATATATATATATATATATATATATATATATATATATATATATATATATATATATTCTCCTTTTAACTGCATTTATCTTTCCTCTACTTATTCTTTCACTCTCTATCACCCACTCTCCTACTACCGCTTTCCTTACTCTCCATCTACAAATGTCTCCTTCCTCTCCCCCTATCTTTTCTCCCATTCAGTCACCCTCTCCTCATTTCCTCTCCTATCATCTTCCACTCTCTCCCATTCCTTATTCTTCACCCTCTATCATCTCCCCGAACCCTCGTTCGTTCTCACATTCTATCACCCTCTCTCCTTCACCCTTCATCCCTCTTTCGTTGTCTCCCTCTCCTACTCTCTACCCTTCCACAACTTTCTACCCCTCCCTATCTACCTTTCCTTCATTTATATCAGCCTCGCTTTCTCACTTTTCATTCTCTTTCCTCTACTCTTTCTCTATCTCTCTCATCTTCTTTACTCTCTCCTACTTAATTCCTTTCCCCCGCTATTCTCTCCCCTACGTCATCCCTACTTTCTGGTACACTCTCTCTTTTAACATCTGTCTAACTCTCACCATCTCTATCTCACCCGCTCTACATCTCTTTCTTACTCTCTCTCTCTCTCTCTCACTTTTCATTCTCTCTCTCATTTTCTCCCCTCTTATCTCATCTTCTTTTCCTCTATTCCATCTCTCTGATATCCTTCAACAAATTCTATTGATTCCTTTGTCAAATGAATCAAAAGGAACATTTGACAAATAAAATTCTTCGGATTTACTGCTTGTTTTATTTTATTTTCCCGTATTTTGTTTGTTTTTTTTTTTTTAAGATATTTTAATTTTTGCAGCTCAACAAGCAGAGAATTGGAAAGCAGCAGCAGATCACTGAACTCTTTACGTCACACACCTTTCAATTACATCATGATATCTCTTCAGGGCGTGGGCGGTCACAACTTTCTTATCTCTTAGTAAGGTTTATCTTTTCTGTGAATGTCAAATTGTCCAAGCCCTCTTTTCTCATTTTCTGTCCGAGGAATATCAATTGTCTCTTCCTGATTCTAATAATATGCTTATTTCTGTTTCCACTTTCTCTAAACAACATTTTCAGGTAATCATCAATTCTTAAAATGAAGATACAATCCTTCATTTTACGGGATGGCAGACAATCCTCTTTCACAAAATAGAAATATTCCCGCTTTTCTCCCTCGTTACTCACATGTTCAGTCCATAAGATTCTCAACATCCTTCTGTAGAACCGTATTTATCTTGCCTCAAGTATATTCAATTGTGAGGAGATTATTCAGTACTAGCAGCATGGCCCAGCGTTGCCGGTGCTTGATTCAAAAATCGTACGACTCATACAGCAATCGCTATCACTTGACTTAAAATATTTTTGCCCTTCCTTGCCTTTAAAGGAGTGCCCTTTGCCGTGCTGATGTTGCTACATGCCTTACTTCTTGCCTATCTCACACTGCGAATTTTTTTCTAAGCTCTATACTAAACATTAAATCTGTTACGAAAAAAGAACTAAACAGAATGAACACAAAAACAATCAGCTTTAAAAAGGACTCGTAACTGAAAAACCGAATGAAAAAGAATGTTAACAACAAATACTTTTTCACATCTAACCCAATTCTGCGGAATCAGAATCAACGTTGAGTTTAAGCAAGCGAATGAGCCAATTGAAGTAAAGTGCCATGCAGATTTAAATTTTTCCCACTTGTGACGAATCGATTTTTTGCATACTAGTTAACATTCGTGTCAGTCAGCTGTTGGTTCTCAGGCTGGCCAATAGAATCTTCCTGCCTATTCGTGGCAGCCAGCTATTGGCTCTCACTATGACCAGTACAAAATGGCCGCAAACTACATGAAAACTGCCGTAAAAGATTGAAAAAATCAATTATTTCCACTATCGATGGGAGTTGGGAAATGCATAGTCGGTCTTAGCCATCCCGCTAACTTGGAGCATGTGCATGTAAATTTTGGGGCAAATCCGTCGAAAATTGCGGCCGTGCATTCGTTACACACACACACACATCCTGCCTTTTATAAATAGAGATTCATTGGCATATAACCTGACATCTTGCCTTCAGTCACTTACTATTATGTAGCTTCTCTGTGCCTTTTCTGTAAATACTTTCGTAATAATTATTCTAATTAACTTTCCTCATTGGGGTTTAGATTCTTAAATAGTTGTTTTATTTCCCTCCCCAGAGACAAAAGTTTACATATGGGGTCGAGTTAGGACTTCATGGAGATTCTGAGGTATTATGGTGAATGTATTTAGCATAAGGGGAGGCACGGTGGAGTAATGGATAGCAGCTCGGATTGAGGAATCGCAGAGCCGAGTTCGCATTCCATTCGAATCCATTACATTCACTTACGTGCTAAGACCCTTAGGAAAGGTATGAATCTGCCTTTTCTCCCTCCCAGATATGGGTAAATACCAGAACAGAGATCTATAGCCTTCGATGGTAACTGGTCTACCGCAGAAAGAAATGGCAACCCACTGCGTGAAAAAAATCTGCTTCGTCTGTCATGTATCGAAAGATACATGATCGCCTATGCGTGTATCACCTATGGCACATAACTGACTGAGTAAGGAATACTGTAGTGTGTTTGTGGCTAGCTAAGCTTTTAAGAAAGAAGACCAGCCTTTCCCCCACCCATCCCCGTTTCGTCTTGTGCCACATTTTGGTATTTTAATGCAAAATATATATCACTTTCCTCCATGGTACTTGATTTTCATTCACCTCCAGGCAAATTGTACACATGGCAACTAGTTACAACTTCATAGAGACTGTGAGGTAATATGGTGACTGTAGTAAAAATCTTAAATAAGAATGTAATGTTTTGTTGTAAGGACTACTGTGATATTTTTGGGTCAGTAATTGTGGCTAGCTGCGTTTAAGATAAGACAGACTGAAGAGCAGCTTTCCCTTAGCCCTCCTTTTGGCCTTGTACCACATTCTTGTATTTTCAAAATAAATATTTCTTTTCTCTATGGTACCTAGACCTTATGAATTTAAGCGCAGACCTAGATTGGCAGCAAGTTATCATCATTTTTACAGTAGAAATTGTTAGATGTAACATAACTTCTGTGCTAACTATTTCTTTTCTCACACCTCTCTTCCTGCTCGTTGCTTCCTAGTCAAGTTTGATCTTCAAAAATTTAAAGGCAATGTCGATCGTTATTTTCTATCTTCTTAATTATTCTTCTTTTATTGATCTCTCTCCTTAACAGTATTTACTGTTATTCTCTAACACCTACTAACTTGTTGCATCTTAGTGGCTTTATTGCCTTCCTGTGTGAGAAATGATTGAAAAAATGTAGAAACCTATAATTATTCTAGATTTTAGTTTGTTTTTATGGTGTAAGTTTAATTGTATCATTTAACTGGTGGATTATCGATTTTTAAATCATGATCCATATGGATTAAAATGATATCGAGAAAAGGTCATCAGTGTAGATAGTACTTTCGGAACGGCATAAAATCCACTTCTTCTCCCCTAGCTAAGGGTTAATTAGTAAATACTAGTATTCACTAAACTATTATTACCTCCAAAAAGATTCTTAGAATCTAAAAATATTTTCTGGCTTTAAATAAACCGAAAAATGTTGATAATTCGTAAAAAACGAATCAATGGGTCCAGTCTCTAGAAATTCTAAAGGGACAAGCTAAAATGCTATCGGTATATTTGTCGATTAAAATCATTGTTGAAAATGAAACAGTATTGATTTGTTATAAATGGGGAAATCTTTATAATGTTATCTATTGGTAAATGAAAGCTAAATTTTTCATTGTACTATACTATTGGGTGTAACGATTACTCCAGGCCTCAAGTGAAATTCTTATAGGCTCCTTGCCTTGAACCTCTGTTTGCTTTAAAGCTCACACCTGACATCAAATAGACCTCGTATAGGCTCCTTGCCTTGAACATCTGTTTGGTCTAAATCTCACACTAGACCTCAAATGGAACTCGTATAAGCTCCTTCCCTTGAACATCTATTTGATCTAAAGCTCACTCCTGACCTGAAATGAAACTCGTATAGGCTCCTTGTCTTGAACATCGGTTTGGTCTAAATCTCACACTAGACCTCAAATAGAACTCGTATAAGCTCCTTCTCTTGAACATCTATTTGATCTAAAGCCTATTCTCTTCTTCATATGTGAGAAGATTGTCCAGCATGTGCTGCCATATAGAAAACTGATATTACGTAACATGAATCGATTTTTAAACAATTAACTCATGCTTTAAAAAGTATAAAATAACATTGACGCCATATTAATTGCTTGTGCAACAAATGGTTCACCAGAAATAAATGGTTACTACCTAAGCTTTTTAAAGAAAGGATTTCCCATCATTTTATTCCTTTGTATTCCTTGTATAATCCATTGGAACTATCTTATTGCCAAAGTTATGGATTTCAATTATCGTTGACACTTGTAATAAATACAATTAACTAAATCAAATCTAATGCAAAAATGCAATTTTATGAGGAGGAGTTCAATTAAACATATTTAATTGAATCTTCACAGAAATTTGTTTGTCGATCAAAAGGCCGATGCTTGAAACATTTTGGGGAATTATATGGCATTATATTACAGCTTTTTGAGGATATCAAAGAACATACTATTTATTTACCATGGAATATACTGAGTACGATGGGTAAATTATTGCTATTTTATATTTTTAATTTCGCGCATGCGCATTGTTTGTTTTGGATTTTGTCGACTGCGCAGTATAATAGACTCAGATGGGCACCGTCTGTGAGAAAAAAAACCACCATGACCCAATTCACTTCCAATTTGGAAACGGCATGCATTCGAGCCGGAAGTTCCAATGACATTTCAGAGTGTGTGTCAATCCGGAGACAGTACAGAGGATTCGGAAAAATTTGAATGAGTCTAATGATAATTACGAAGGTACAGCAGATAGAAAAAAAACTCACTCTGATCGTTCTAATGAGAAAAGAACTCATGAATGTGTTCGTGAGGGTCTCAGACTCAACACGGAGGCCTACATCAAGTGTCTTGAGAGGGGTAATGCTGCTCTGGGTCAAGAAGGTGGCTGCTGGAAGACAACAAGATTCTGAACCATGCCACACAATGCAGAAACCCGTCATGGCTGTCAAACAATGTCTGCGACTACATCACATCTTACATCTGGCCACCTAAATCCCCAGACTTCAAACACCTTGATTATGTGTGGGGCGTAGTTAACAGAGAGATCAACAAAACTCTTTCTAACTCCAAGGATGAACTGAAGGCAAGAATTATGGCAACATTCACCAATTTAAACAAGGAGACCTTCCAGAAGAAATGTAGGAGATTCTGAAGTCTTCTCGAGGCTGTGGTTGAAGTCAATGGCGATTTTATTAAATAAATTTACTCTTTAGTATTTCAAGATATTTTTGTGTAAAATTTTTCGTAAATATATGTTAAAATGAGATTTCAGTGTTATTTTCATTTTTGCGTACTTTAGACGACAATTTATGTATCGCAACCTGTATTACAGATTTTTGAGAATGTCAAAGAACATGTTATATGCCATAAAGACAAAAAGTAAAAGCCTTTTCACTTTTTCAGCTAATATATTCACAAATTTAAATGCAGTTAACTGAAATCTTCAAAGAATTCTGATAACGCTTCTTGCATATAAAAAAAGCTGTGTTTTCGATAAACTAGATTCGTTCAGCCAACAAGATTTCATTAGTTTCCTAAATTTATTCAAAGCCAATCTTACAAAACGTGACTTACAAATATATAGCAGCCATCTTGATGCATTCAAAGCTGACATATAAAATGTTTTTTTCCGACATTATCAACCGAAGTGTGGCTGTGTGCATAAAAAAAAACCTTTTTTTCTTCAATTTCTGTAGGAATGTCTGCTAAGAACACCCACCTCCCCAGATTTATAGATAAATCTTACAGATGCATGCTGGGATTTTAGTATTTCGCCCCTACCAATAAAAATGGATGAAATGTTAGTCTCATCCGCCATCTTTTTTTCTCTTTCTTGTCTTAAAGTTAGGACGCTATATTCATTTAAATGTATCCCTTTTCCCTATGAATATAATTCTTACTTTGTGGCTTATTTTGCCCTATTACTGTAGCTTGCCTAATTTTCACTCGCCAATATATTGTTTATTTGGTATTGTTTGACCCTGATCTTTTTCTTGCTTTTCTTATTGTTTTTTAAGAACTTTTCATTTGTTTTTGTCAATTACGCCTAATCATGGTTAATTATTTTCAACCCCATTTCTTGTAAATTTATTTGAAGTAAAATGCTAAGCTTAACAAAGCAAAATTTAATGAAAGTGAATACTTATAATATTTTTTTTTTAAAATACCCACACTTTAGAGACATCTCTTTGTATGCATCAGGTATGTAACCTCGTCATGGTGTAATGTTTAGCAAGCTAGTCTCGCTTGAACAATTACGACTGAATAGTGAGTTCGATCCTCATTAGGTGCCTCAAACTTTCGGCCATGTGTCATATCTAAATTGTGCTTAGAAAATCACGATAACTTAAGCTGATATAATTCATTTAGCTGATTGGACATGAATATTTTGCACAGTTCTCGGCGTGTCACCGTTTCTACCCTATCGTGTCTATATTTTATATTCCTTCGAAATTGAACATAGGCTGTGTCAAAGGTAGTTTCACCCAACACCTCAAATTGCTACGAAACTAAAACTTCAACCTGAAAACAGGTATGCATCAGTTATAAAAACTTACCGTAAATGGCTACAAAACCAAAATATCCTAAAATCTCGAGTCAGGTTCTTAAATAGCCTCGCCAGCTCGTGACTTTCAAGCGGATGTCATGCATGACAGCTTATTCGCTCACAAACATCTAAACGATCAGCTGTATGCAGCCACTTTCTCGGATCAAAAGCTAAAAACTTCAACCGAATGAAGCTTGTAGGTCTTAGCGAGGACTATCCTTCTTCGAACCTTGCCGACCGGCGCTACTGATTCTTAAGAACTCAACCAAAGAACGAAAACCACATCACTTGAGGAGTACCAACAGCAGAAACAACTAAAATGGATGGCACATGTAACACGAAGAGAAAATAATGTCATATATCAAGATGTTGACGTTCCACACTACCTCAAACAAAAGGTTAGGTAGGAAACCCCCATTAATACTGGAAAGAGCAATAACAGTTACTGGACATGAGAAACCTATTTTCCTGAAAAATCGTTTTAATAGAAATATTTTATAAATTTCAACTGAAAGTAGAACTGGCTGCTCAGTCAATAAATATCGAAATTTTCCGAAAAGGTAATGGCTAAAAAAGCCATTAACATTAGCACTTTGAAGTGGAAATTACTGTGGAAATTACTATATATCTCATCTCAGTATAGTCTGTCTATTTATCTATCTCTGTTTATTCATATCTATATTTCAGTCTTTTCATATATACCTCTTACAATTTGTTCGCATATATCTATCGATCGTTCGATAAAGCTCAATCTATGCATATCTATATATCTGTCTCTATATGTATCTCAGTCTGCTCATATCTATCTACATCTGTAAATTTATCTATCTCTCGCAGTTTGCCCATATCTATCTATCTATCTATCTATCTATCTATCTCTGTTCGTATCTATCTATTTCAGTCACTGTTCATATCTATCTATTTATCTATCTATCTCATCAGTCTGTTCATATCTGCCCATTATTTTATTTCAGTTTCTTCATATCTATTTGTTTCAGTTCCTTCAATCTATCGATCGATCTATCTCAGTATGCATATCTATATCAGTCTGTTCATATCTATCTATTTCTATAGATTTATCTATCTGTCGCAGTTTGTCCATAACTGTCTGCATATCTATCTATCACATCTCACTCTGTTCACATCTGTACATCATTCTATTTCAATCACTTTTCAGTCTCTTCATATCTATTTATTTAGCTAGCTAGCTAGCTATCTCAGTTTCTTCATATCTATCTCAGTCTCTTTATCATTATCTGTCTATATATTTCAGTCTCTTCATACCTATCTATCTATCTATCTATCTATCTATCTATCTATCTGTTGTGGGCGACGGAGGAAAATTTTTTGTTGTTTGTTCTTCCTGTGTGAGTTCAAATCGCTCGTCGTCAATTTGTTGTGGAAGAGGGGAGGATTTTTCTATTTCTTCTTCTCGTGTGAGTTCGAATCGCTCGTCGCCAATTTGTTGTGGATTCCGAGATGAAATCCGGTCTCGAAATGGATGACAAACGCAGGAATGAAATATAGCAAATAAATGTATTGACGTAATAATACAATTGGTAATACGGTTAGTAGATCCAAAAATGCAGTTAGTAGCAATAATAATATATATACAGTCTGGGAAATTCAGTATCGAAGTATGACTTCCTTCTGAGTCTACGTGCTCGCAACTGTGACTCCTACAAAGCGGTTACCTCACACTCTTACTCTCTCACTCCGGGTATTCACCGGCAGCAGTACAAGTACACACTGGGCGATTCCACTTGTATAAAAAAGGGGTGGACTCCCTAACACTATCTATCGATGTTTATTCATATCTATCATTCTATTTTAGTCTCTGTTTATATCTATTTATCTCAGTCTCTTCAAATGTATCTATCTATCTCAGTCTGTTTATCATTATCTATCTATATATTTCATTCTCTTCATATCTATCCTTTTATTTTAGTCTCTGTTTATTATCTATCTATCTATCTATCTATCTATCTATCTACGGATATGATAAAAAGATATACATATACGCACATATACGGAGGTGACCCGAGCGTCCACTTTTATTTATCTATCTATCTATCTATCTATCTCTCTCTCTATCTCTCTCTCTATATATATATATATATATATATATATATATATATATATATTTCCTTCTCTCCATATCTATCGATCTATCTCAGTCTGTTCATATCAGTCTATCTTAGTCTCTTCATATCTATCTATTTATCAATTTAATTATATTCCAAACTTTAATGAAGGTGATTACCGCCAATATTACAAAAAGAGCAAATAAAAATTTTTATCAAATAAGTGCCGCCCCCTTAAAGGAGACGCTTAACATTGCCATTTGAAGTGGAAGTTACTTATCAGGAAGAGCGCTTGCAATTAAAGTATATTATATATTCAAATTTATTTATCTTTATAGTGTTTTCATCAGTGGAGGAGTTTTCTTAGAAATAGATCAAATGAAATGGCTGAATGATCGCTTTAGGCGGGAAACTCACAAGAAACATTACGCTTTGATTTCTATATTAACACAATTTATTTATTTATTTATTTCTATCTATCTCAGCTTATTCATATCTCTCTATCTATTTCACTCTGTTCATATCTTTCATATCTATCCCAGTCTATTCATATCTATTTATATATCTATCTTTCTCTATCTCTTACTCTGTTTATGCCTGTCTATCTATCGCTCGATTTATCTCAGTCTATGCATATATATATATATATATATATATATATATATATATATATATATATATATCTGAGCTTACTCATATTTCTCTATATCATTCTGTTCATGTCTATTAATATCTTTCTATATATCTTTCTTTCTCCTTTAGTCTGTTCATGTCTGTCTAGCTGTCTATCGATCGATCTATCTCATGTCAGTTTATGTCTATCTATCTATCTATCTATCTATCTATCTATCTATCTATCTATGTCTTTTCATAACTATCTTTATAAATTTACTTCTCTATCTCAGTTACTCCATGTCTGTCTGTCTTTCTATTTATCTATCTCTCTCAGTCTGTTCATATCTATCTATCTATCTATCTATCTCACTTCGTATGTATCTATCTGTCTATCTCAGTCTCTTCATATCTATCTATTTATCAATTAATATAAATAATAATATAATTGTATAATGTATAAAGTATATAGTATAATGCTAAGATTAACAATGAAAACTTTAATGAAAGTGAATATCTGCAATATTACAAAAACAGAAAAAACCCTGAAGATTATCAACATTTATCAAATAAGATCTGCCCATTATTAATAACCCCCACCCCTACTTGATATTTAATTAAAAGAGGATTTACTGTAGAGTACAAGACTATTTCTCTCCTTGGTAAGAGTACAAGACTCTTACCAGGAAGAGTGTTATGGCACCTTACCCATAATAACATAATGGACTATTCCATACGTAATAAATACTGCGCCTCAAGAGGAAACAGAGAGTTCTGTCTGAAGTCTGGAGTGAGGTCCGTCAGAAGTCAGTCAGTCGAGTCAGAGGCAGTCCGAAACAGAGTCGCGTTCAGACAATTACTACTAAACCTGATTGTTCGTACTAACACTTTCTAGCTCTCTGTATATATTCCTGTTTGTAATATATCTGTGTTATTCCATATCCGTATTCGAGTTCTTATTTATTGGTTCTACTTTGGACCATCACCGTGGTACAAAGAACCGGACCATAACAAAGAGAAATAGCATGAATTCAGCACAGACAGACAGAGAGATTTTCATCTTTTTCTGATTAAAATAAAGTCAAATATAAAAGATTTGGTTAGCAAGTATTGACTAACAAAGCCCTCAGTAAAGGTAAGTATTAACTAAATATTTATTTTTCCTTAGATAAATCCATTATTTTATTTCGTATCTTTAGATAGGCTTAAAATTTATGGATTCTCAAAAGATATCAATAAGAACCTTATTCGATGGTGATGAAAGCCATTACCAATTTATTTCGTTACTAATGTTACTAGTTATTCTTATAGAATAAGCTGTACTGAAAAAATAGGCTGGCCTTTTATATTGTTTTAATCTCTTTAAAACCTGTGAGTGATGAACAAACTAAAGTGAGAAATAGGCTGGCCTTTTATATTAGGAGAGCAACAACATGTTTTAATCTCTTTAAAACCTGTCAAAGTGAGTGATGAGCAAACTAAAGTGTGAATAGCCCTGGTCAACATGAATGATATCAAATGTCTTTTGAAATACGAGAGTGCCAAGACTCAATATCCATTTTTTATATTTTTCTTTTAAAAAGTTTCTTTTTTTTTCCAGTTTTTTTTCAAACAGAACAGATACCCCACCATATCTGGTTTATAAGATAAAAAGAGTCTCAATAAAGTAGGGTGTTTCGGTAGGGTAAAGGATATCAGCATGGAAAGTGAAATCAGTGAGACGAGTTCAAATTCTGAGTGCATCTGTTGTATTCCGATGAATCGATCGTGTGCCCACGGCCACTCTACGTCGTCGCCTGAGTCTCCGTCCTCTTCCACCGGTCCTGCTCCAGCGTCGGCTCCGATGGTTCGAGCTCGCAGCTCGACGCCCGGAGGGAGAGCTCTTCCGCGATGTACTTCTCCAGCCTTCTCTTCCTGACTGGCGAAAACGTGTCGGTGGGCAGCTGAGGATGTAGGCTAGCACAATCAACGATGACCTAGCAGTACTATCGGGTCCACAAGTAGTTGGTCTTTGACGATGTAATCGCGAATGGCTCGCCATTTCGTGTGTCCTGGCTCAGAATCGGGGAGCGTGGACAGCGATGGTTCGTGATGCTGTACTTGCTCGGGAGGAAGCCGGTTCAACCCGACCAGGGTGAAAACGATACAAGTCAAAGTCAAAATTCAGTTTTGTGGGGAGAAAGGAATGAATCTGTCCTGTCTCTTCTCACACTTGAGGGTGGATGTGCAGGTGGTGTAATGGATAGCAGCTCAGAATAAGAAACCAGGGAGTCAATTTCAAACTCATGTCAGGTTCATTACATTCACTTAAGTATAAATACCCTTTGGAAAGGTATGAATCCATCTTATTCCCCCATACATGGGTTAAATAGTAAAATTTGTATCTGGTAAAATTATTGTTATCTTCCAAAAATTGTTAATGAAGTATTCCCTAGCAAAAAAAAAAGAAAAATATTCTTACACTCTAAAATATATTTTGGTTTTTAAAAAAAAGTATTTTTCAGGTTCTTTTCGGATGGAACAGATATAGCCATATTTGTTTCATTTACAAAATAAATGTGTCTCACTAAATTTCTAATATAAGTTCATTATTTCATCTCGTATCTTTAATTATCCGAGGCTAGAACTTTTATAGATTCTCGAGAGACTAAAACTGTATGCTAGTGAAAGCAATTAAAAATTCTTTTCATTACTAATTTCACTGTTAACTTTCTTACAATAAGGTATGCTATAAAATATTTTCAATTGCAGGGAGGCGATAAATTTGTTTAATCTCTTTCAAATATGGCAGTGCGCTGTGTGCGAGAAAATGGTTGAATATCCGCGCTGAACACGAATAAGTAGAATAATGATGCAAAACGTATTTATTTTGCATAATATTTATTTTGCAGTATAATCTCCTCTCCTGTCAATGCACATAATTCAGTGGTAAATATTAATATTTAATAAATAGTATAGAATATGAGGTTAGTGCGCCGAGTTCAAACTCCCCGCTAGTTTATTTTGCTCCCTTTCGCTCTGTTTTCTCTTGAAAAAGTACTCCTCCCAGATATGGGTTAAATAGCAGAGTAAATATGTAAGGTGAATTATGCGATTTCTGGAGCGGTTAAAGGAACCGATGATTTTTCCAGAATATTTAGAAATGGATGGTATACATGGGCTCCATCGTGATCGGTGTGTATTCAGCGTCATCTCGGTGATGGTGAAAGTTACTGGATTTGTTTTGGATATATTGAATGTTACAAGCCAGTTTCTAGGTCACATGAGAGATCAACTGTCCGGCCCTATTCATCTAGAGTTTCCGAGGTGTATCTATAAACTGTGGCATCACCATCATAGATATTTACTAATGCTCTGAGAATGTTCTTGGGTAGATCGTTAATAGTAAAATGTGCGTAGGAATGTCGTTATCAATGGCTAGGTCACTGAAGCCCTATACTACAGCTTGTAAAAGACTTTAAGATATTGAACGCGATCAATCTTGTGGTTAATTTATTATCGAATATCTCACTGGTTCCGTGTCTAATAGCAGGACATCAACAGTGGACCTAGAACAGCGAAACCTATACTGTTTGTCGCTCAAGAGTTTATTTCTGTTAGGATAATCAAAAACCTTTTTATTGATGACAGGAGCTGATGGGTTTATATTGAAACGGGGAAAGCACTAGCTTGTATTCTTGGGGACAAAGCACCTTCCATAAACCTAGGAGACATATCGCCTTAAGGCAGAGGTTAAACAAGGGCTCGGTGAGAGAGGGGGAATCAGGTAGGGGATGGTCTTTGTTTATAGTGGGATTAGAGGAAACCTTCATTGCAAAGATTCTGGCCTTATCTGACGAAGATGAGAAAAACCTAGGGTCATTTATAATAATAGGTACTGAGGGGTTTGACTATTGAAAATTTGTTTGAGATTTTTCCAGAATTTATAGGCACCAAATCAGTTGTTTTCAACATTGGCGAATTGTCCATAGCTGTTCTTTGCATTTTCCATAGCCTTCTTGCACTGACTGCGGCAAAGATTTGATCAAAGCATTCTCTCTTATATACATAGTAGTAGTAGTTACGGTGAACGAAATTTAGCTGCTCAGCTTTTGTTTGTGTCAGAAAGAATCCATTCGGAGATGAAAGAAGCTATTCTGGAAGTTCTAGGTTTAAGGAATGTTGAGCGAGGTACTCCCGATATGTAACAGCTGAAGCTGTCCCAATAGATCGTACTACGTTATGGGACATCGAAGGATGCCTTTGATCTGGTATCAATTCTGACATTGAACTGTGAAGTATCCAAGGGACGTAAAACTTCAGTGGAGGATTTGTCTGGACAGAAGGTGCTATAGAGGCCTGGGAGGTTTACGTTATGGCCAACTATATCAGGAACTGGCATGGGCTTATGCAAGATCTCGGAGAATTCGTAAATCTTTACAGTATCTTCCATCTTCATCAGTTTTGTTTGAGGGAATTAACCATTTCTCATGGTGAATACCAAAGTCGTGCCATATATGAATACTAGCTGATGGCTGGACAGCAGTAGCCTCTCCCTTCTGGGACATTTTGTCAAACATTACATGATTCTGCTTACGATAAACAGGAAATATGGTGAACAAACTATGAACGAAATCCACACATGAATGAGAAATCAAGGTCTTTGTTTTGGGGGATCCTGCCATATGGCAACACTCTCTCTCTCTCTCTCTCTCTCTCTATATATATATATATATATATATATATATATATATATATATATATAGATACACGAATAAGTAGAATAATGATGCAAAACGTATTTATTTTGCATAATATTTATTTTGCAGTATAATTTCCTCTCCTGTCATTGCACATAATTCAGTGGTGAATATTAATATTTAATAAATAGTATAGAATATGAGGTTAGTGCGCCGAGTTCAATGTATGTGCGATTTTTTGTCGACAGAAGTTCATGTTTGTAGCTCTTTCTTTTTTTAAAACCTTTTTTTCCCTCGAGATTGATTTGATTAGCAAATCAAAATTCGAGGGTTTTTCGAAAGAGTCTAGTTATCTATATTTATATATATATATATATATATATATATAGAGAGAGAGAGAGAGAGAGAGAGAGAGAGAAAGAGAGGGAAAAGTGTCTGAAAAGCTAAGAAAAGAAATAATCTTCAAACACAGTTCTTCAAATTTAAATAGTTTTCTTACTGAGTATAAAAATAATCTTTGTTTTCTTGTAAGTTGAAAGAAACAAATTATAAAGTTCCTCGCAAAGAAAGTTTAACGAAAAATGTGTTGTTTTTTCTTTTTACAACACGAAAGAAATGAATTGTGTTAGTATAAGTTGAAAAGATGTATGTGAGTTTTCAATGCGAAAATGCCCGGTTTTTATTATTTTATATATGTGCAAGGGGGTTCTCATGTGGCCTGTTTAGGGGCCAGAAAGAAAAGACACGGAAGA